GTCAGTGAGAAAATCTATACCTTCATCGGATGTGGTGAAAATATATACGTGATCGGTCACGTGTTGCAGCTGTGTTAGTGTATTTTTACATTTTTCATTGTTTGGGTGAATGTTCTCGTCGATCCACATAATTACATAGCCTTCAGTCATGCATTGTGTTGGTTCCATAACACACGATAATGTCGTTGCAGTTGTTATGGTATCCGTTATGGATGTAGAAAGCATTTCATTCTGCTTTTGCCCATTCATTTTGAATTTATTTGCCACTTTATAACTAACCAACAATGGAGAGAAGTTGTTTGAAATTCAGTCAGAAATATTTTTTTTCAATTGATCCGATAAGAGTCGTTTTTCTTGACTTTTTTACAACATCAAATGTGCTTTTGTTTGTCGACGTTTAGTATCGAATTTAAGTAGTCGTGAAAGAAAATTATGTTGTAAAGAAAAACAATGATAAGATTATTTAGTGTCGTAGTGCATTGTATTACTGCTCTTCGGCGACTTAAAAAGAACCATTTTTCTCCCTGATAAGAACGAAAAAACAACACTGTTGTGTGTGCTTTGATTGTTTTCTTCTTTCTAAAGATACTATTATCATGTAAAGGAAAAAATCACAAATAATATTAGTCTTCTTTTAGATCAGAATTGAAAACTTAATTTTCTGTTGGCTCAATATGCGGTTTGATGCATTCTATTAGTTTCCAGGAAACTCTTTTTTTTGTGGACTTTATTTAGAACAGGGCATAATGGACATAAATTGGATTTCCAGGAAACTCCTTTTAAATCCTCGAAAAGAACCTACCACGCGTCTCGAACAGCTCCTCCAAAACTATAAACAAAACTCCACAGCGAACTAATAACCACTAAAGTGGTGTAACCCATTTTCCGTGCAGTCAGAGTCCACTTTCCACGAAAACATTTGAACTTTCAAACAATACTTCTACAATTCCTCGAGTAGACGTCCACTTTTCACAGCATCCACATCAACGTAAACGTGATTACATGTCTTCGGAGAGTTTCCTCAAAAACTCAATTCAATACCGATGCAGAAGATACAGTAGATAAAGAAGATGTAGGATATGAAGGAGATATAGAGATATGGGTGGCGGGATGTTCGCCAATAAGACTTTCGTCAATAAGACATTCATCAATGGCAAAAGTCCTGGAGATATATTGACGAAAGTACAATGGACTTTCTCCAATGGCGAAAGTTCTATTGGCGAAAGTCTTATTGGCGAAATCCCGGAACCCCAGAGATATAGGAGATATAGTAAACAGTTATTTATTGATTTTGATTGTTTCTTCGAGCAGCCATCGATAAGTGGCATGAATATATCAGAATAGAACACTATTAAAAGTCAAACGCTATTTACGGATTATCTGCACTGGTTATCCCATATCTTCTATATCCCTGTATACCCTATATTCCTAAATCTCCCATACCTTCTCCGTCGATATTTAATTGAGTTTCCTGGAAAACTCTCACAAAGCATCATATAGCAGGAATACAAGGTATCAGAGGGTACAGGAGGTGCACAGTTCTTATTATTTGATGCTAGGGCTACTATAAAGCAGACATATCTATCCATGATTCCAAAAATAATCTCTCAATATTAAAAATAGGTAAGACTACAAATCCATTAAAGAAAAATTCTTCCATATATTTTCCAGAAAACCACTTAGCCCAGAAAATGCAAGAATTCGTCTCCAAAACAACTCTGCACCCAACAAATTGAAAACAAAACAAAAGCAAAGCCCTCATAATTCCTTGCCACGTTTATCATGTAATTCCATGAGAGCTACATCAGCTCTAATCTTTCTAGATTTTCTGAATCGGGTTCCTCTTTTCAAAGCCACTAGGGTATGGCCAACACCGCAACAGTTCAACTAAACCATCCTCACGCTCTACAACTACTTTCACAACACAACTCCAAATATGATACGTATGTGAAAACACCTCTGACCAATGTCTGACAAGACAACCCGACACTTAACTGCCAGGACGCTCTCGTGGATTTTACACAGCACCCATACCATGCACACATGCTCAGGTGCCCTTTCCAACTGTTGTAAACCGTCTCATCGTTCTTCCCATACACAGATCAGCTGCAACCTTGTAGACCGCTTACCGAGTACTCCAATCACGAAACCCACAGAGCCCCTGAGGGAACATGTATTCTATTGTTCCCAATACTTTCACGACCAATCATTTCCTGGCCACTTATTTCGCGACACCTACAGCAAGTGCGATGTGATAAGTGTCCTATTGTTCTTAGTTCTTTTGCGGCCAGTTCTTTGGCGTCACCCGCAGCAACTGCGATATAACGTGTGTCGTATTGTTTTCAGTCCTTTCTCGACGAGTCGTTTCGCGGCCTATCGTTCCATGAATTGTGCTTCCGCAATCCGTTCTTTCGTAGCACTCACAGCTGGGGAAGGCACGTGAGTCGTTCTGTGGGATGCGCAGCTTGACAGACGCGTGAGAGTCGTATTGAGTCACCCACACCTTGGCGCATCCGCACCGGCACTCACATCTACAGTCGCAATGTTTTTGGAAACCTCATTCTGCGTTTCCGTGGTATGATCTTTGTGTTTTCGGAAGTCGGTTTTTCTTGGGTCGAGTTTTTTATTTTGGGAAAGCGAAAGTGTGTTTTTCGGAAATTCATTTTGGGTTTCCGGAAATGTTTCTAGTGCGGAAAGACAATTTGTCTTTCCGGAAACTCATTTGGTGCGGAAAGTCTATCGACTTTCCTGGAAAGTAATATAAGGCATCATATGGTGACTGTGGGTGTGGAGTGTGGGTAACTCTTGTATAGCTATCCACACCCACACCCTAATCAAATGAAATCAATCATATAAACCTAACGCGAAATTCAATTTTCGACTATAGTGCATCTTGAATTTCTACTACTCTTTCCGCTAATTCTTCATCCTGTTCCATAGAACCTATAGTACATTCAAAGTTATTGTTCTCAAAATAACACAAGTATAGGGTGTAGATGTGGGTGGGTGTCGCCGAAGGTAGAACACCCACACCCTCGATATGCGTTCTTTTGCTGGAGAGTGGCCTTCTCTAATTTGCGTTGGTACTGTCGTGAGCTGAAAAACCTTGTATTGGTTTGCAAGATCGGTACCCGAGAATATGCTGTGAGGAGTTATATCGAGTCCTGGGACCTTGGAAATCCTGTTCGCGTTATTCAGAAAAGGGATTTTTTTTACAAAGTACATGACTATAGCGATATAAATAGAGCTAATAACGTGCCTTTTGAATGCCGTCGAAAATTTAACTACGAAACTTTTTTTGATGTGAGAGTGTGAGGAATAGGATAGCTATGATATAAATAACCCATATCCACAACCATACCCGTACCTCACGCCTCCGCACCTCACCCACTCACACCCGATGGTATTTTTTAAAAACAGCTCCAATAAAGTCTTCTTTGATCTGAAAAAGACCGTGTCCAGGTTTTTATAAACCTTGTCATCGTAGGCCACCTTTAAATATTTGAGATAGAAAACTCCATTGGCTATTAAAATCACTATCTGGATTTGAGTTAGATGCTTAACATTATAGAAAAAAATCTAAAATACGTTGAATTTTAACTTTTGTCCGCTGCTTTATGTCCGCATGTCCTTCGAAAAAGTGCTCCCACCCTTCCAAAATACTAGATCCGCCATTGTATTGCTTTGAAATAGACACCATGATGAGTCATTTCTTTCTTTTTTATGATCTTTGAGATATTTATTAGAAATGCAATTTGTTTTTTTTATCTTTTTTTGTGTAACATCATATTCTAACATGCTTCAACGACATCTTATCTATTCGTTTGTTTTTTTTTCATTCTTTGTAATGCTTATCGACACAAAACAATATCTGTTTTTACTAAAGATGAAAATATTCGAATTCAAAATTCACAAATACAAGTTAAAATATTATCTAAGTTCTCTGAGTCGATATTCCACTGAAGTCTTTCATAAGAGTAAAATAAATTTAGTTTATTAGCAAATATATTCTTCTATTATTAAGAAATCGAACTTGAAAAATTTCTATATGATCTTATACATATTGTTTATCCTACTTGAAGATTTCCACATTGAGTTAACGATCTTTTCGAAGTGACATAGAGCATTTTTTTTAATCAATGAAAAGTAAGCATGTTTGTCGATGTAATTAGAAATTTAACTTTTCATTTTTCAGACAGTCAATTGTATATTTTATGTTTTGGTACAACGTTGACAAGTATTGTAATTCTTCTAAATTATTTTCAACGAAAAAAAAGAAAAAAACAAGATGAAAAACGAGTATGTTTATTTATTTAATTATTCATTGATTCTCATTATTGATATAGAAAAATGAATATTTAAAATGTAAAACATTATCTGATTTCGAAGAATTAGCTAAGAAAGCAATGATGCCACATCGTTTTTATTATTATGACTACAAAGCTGGTCAAGGACATACATATCAAGCATGTAGACATTATTTTGATAAACAATTAAGAATTATGCCAAGAGTTTTGATGGACGTTAGTGAAATTTCATAAAAAACAACTATATTTGGGTGAGAAACTATCGAAATATAAAAAGCTGCGATACTTCTATAGAGACAGATTTTTCTAGTTTTTACTTCGTCACTATGAACTCAAGATGCATTTGTCAACATTTATTATAGATTGATATATGAATCACCAATCCTAATTGCTACATCTGCTTGTCATTGTCTTGCTCATGTTGATGGGGAAGTTGCTACAGCTCGTGCTGCAACTGAAACTCAATGTATTTTTACTTACAATTGGACATTTTCAAATATGCCAGAAGAAAAAGTTCTACAAACACTCGGTATATTCTTTTTCTTTTCTTTTCTTTTCTTTTCTATCTCATTATTCTTTTCAATGTACTTAATAATCTTAGGTCCAAAATTTTTACATATTTATTTAACAACACCTATAGAAATCTTAGAACAAATAGTTCCACAAGCTGATAAAAAAGGATATCGAGCAATTGTTATTACATGTGATCCACCACATGAACGTATTCGAGATTTTGTATTACCATTATTTGAAGAAGCATCAAAGAATATCGATCCAGACTTAATGAAGAATATGTCAATACCAAATTTGAATATACCTGGTATAATTGTTAAGCAACCTTTTGGCACTGGTTCAGTAACATGGGCAAATATTGAATGTTTAAGAAAATTGACACAATTACCAATTATTTGCAAAGGTATACTTTCACCAATTGATGCAGAATTAGCAATTAAATATGGAGCAAATGGAATTATTGTCAGGCCTGCTTTGCATATAATCAGTTAATTGAATATATCTTTTGCTATTATTGGTTTTAGTAACCATGGTGGTCGACTAGTTGATACAGCACCACCAGCTATTGGATGTCTAGAAGATGTCGTCAATGCTGTAGATGGACGTGCAGAAGGTAAGTTTGTTTTAATGACAATTGAAAAAATCTAGCAGATTTTTAAAGCGTCTCGACATAGTTAAGATGAGAAAAGTTATCTATATGCTTCCTCTTCAAAAAAGCCATTGATTTGGTTAAATCCTCTATATTGTTAGAGTAACTCAAGCTTGCTAAATCTTCTGATTTTTGGACTTGTCTCCTGACCGAAAATCTCCTCATTTCAGGGGTTGATTTTTGTTCGTTTTTTTTAATATTTGGCTGTTAGCAATATTTTGAACCAATAAAAGAAGTCACTAAAGTCATTAATTACAATTACATTAACTAATCTTATATGAAGTATTTGTTTAAACAGAGGTACTAAGAAAATAATATTATATGTGTAATGTTTCGACGTGCAAGGGTTAGATTATTATTGAAGTATCAAACTCATTAGATAAAAATCTTATGACAAAAACTGAACCGCAAATCGATAAACGATGGTATTTCTATTTCATCGAAAAGGATTGCGAAATTAAAATTTACTGCTTTATCATCACCAACAACAAATAAACGATATACCGAACATGCCAAAATAGTTTGTTTTGTGCATATCTATGCACAGAAAAATAATAAAATCTTGATCTTTTTTTTTAAAAATGAGCCGTGAGAAACTCTACAAAACTTGTATTAACAAATCAATACTGACATGTTCTAATGAGTTTTCCCATATAACAAATGTACAATCTACATAATAGTGTTACTTTTCACCATATTGCACATAATAAAAATGTATGGAGGATTTTTTTTGTTTCGCACTAGAAATTTGTTCATACAACTTTCGGTGGTTCATCGTTAAAAAAGTAAGAGATTATCATTTTCTTTAGCCTAGACATACGCAAAATAATACGAAAAAAAAAATCTTCCAAACATTTTTATTATGCTCGAGACGATGGGATGTAGCACTATCATGTAAGTTGTACATTTTGAGTATGAGAAAAGCCATCAGAGCATGTCAGTAGAGATTGCTGCTTATACAATGCTTGTGAAGTATTTCGCGGTGCCTTTTTTTAAAAAAAGATCAAGATTCTATCATTCACCTATGCTGAGATAAAAAATGTTGTAAATATGTTGACACAGTCGATATAATTCAAGTTTAAGAAAATTTTTTCATCATCAACTTGATATGTAAAAGAGAAAAGTGCATATAGGAGTGAAACTTCGAATATTCCTTAGGAAAATCACCAAACGATTCTTTATTTATTTAGTATTTGTTGATACTGGTATTCGAACTGGGACTGATGTATTAAAAGCATTAGCATTAGGTGCACGAGCTGTTTTGATTGGTCAGCCAATTTTATATGGATTGGCTTGTGGTGGACAAGATGGTGTTCGAAGAGTATTAGATATATTAAAACGTGAATTAGTTTATGATATGGCTTGTTGTGGATTAACATCGATTGATCAAATTAATAAAGATATTCTTTATAAACATTAATAGAAATAAAAGTGAAAGATAGGCATTTGATTTGAGTTTTCTTTATTTTATTCTTTTATTCCTTTTATGATGTTTCCACTTATTAAACGATCATTTGGGTGGGGGTGTGAAGAAGAAAATACTCAAACCTAATTATACTCTCACACCCACCCCTTGTTGATTACTCTCTTCATCACCGCCTTTTCTAGAAAATATTTTTAAAAGAACCAAGTTAAAATTGAATCAAATACTATTTTTATTAAAGCATCAAGAAATAGCAAGTAGGATAATAGCCACATGTCTACCTAACATTACAAAACATATTCGAATCAGAATAGGAATTGTGAAAATGACCTGACTTGTAGAAAAAATTTCTAATAAATTTTTTTTATTGTATAATATGATAAAAGATAAAAAACAAATCTAATATGGTTTTTATCATGAGGAATTGAATTATTTGTACTATTGATACTTGTTGTTGAATAATTTCAACACATACTACTTTTACTTGTTTGACAAGAAACGACCTGGATTTAGGTTTATTGATAATGGAGGATGTGAAGTTCGCCAACCATTGTACTCATTATTGATGAGCATTCGTCTATTTTATTCCAATCTATGTTTAAAAGATAAAGGAAATAGCCAAACAAACCTGTTAATAGATCATGGACTTTTTTATTTGATGGAACTTGTTCTATTTTTCTATATGAGCCAGTCCATATAAGGTACCATCTAACTTGCTCGATCAAGGTCATTCGATTTTGCTCAATTTGATATCTGTTGTAGGAGTGGGAGTATCAACAATTCTGATGCAAGCCGTTTGAAAAAAAATTGTTCTTCCGTTCTTGAGATATTGAAATTTTTCACAGGATACTATTCTATAGTAATGAGAAAAAAATGAGCTTAAATGAATTGCACTATTGATTCACAAAATCGATATGATAAAACTTTGAATAATTTCTAAGCGAGCTTAGGTAAATTTCCTATAGAAACGGGTTCATTGTTGAAGATTTTTCAATAAGTCTCCTAAAACCATTCTTTGAGATCGCACGTCAATTTTTTTTCACAACTCCGTAGTACTCAGTAGGTACTTTAGATCTACATGAGACCGACTTCTATAAATTTGATTTTGCTCTGGATCGGACTCTCTCTCAAGATCGCGATTTTAATCTAAATGAAGTTTTTGATGAAAGTCTCCTGAACGGTAGGAACTATCTTGAGAGCTGAATTTTTTAGAAGAATGAGAATTCACTGTGGCCAAAATTTCAGCTCTCTGGTTTTATCCGTTCATGAAATATGCAAGGGCACAAAATATTTAAAAAATAACAGTTTTGTCATGTACTTTGTAGTATTGGTTAACTCATCACACAGTAAAAATCTCAAATAAAAGACTATATATTATTGATAAATAAACGTTAGGATATAATACGTCGAATAAAATAATAACGGAGAAAAAGATATATGTGTTAAAGGAGAATAAAGAAAATTGTTTTTAGTGAATAGTATAATAAATATTGAAAAATAAAAAACAAATGTAAAAAGAGAAACGAAAGATAATAAAGAACATTTATTGGAATATATTATTGTTAAGACGGATTATTATTCAATGAAGATAAATTCTTATTCGAAACAGCGATTTATTTTGCTTTTTTTTGTGGAATTCCATTGAAAATTTGATAATTAAATAATTGATCATATAAATATATTTTGAAAAATGTTCTTTAGTTAATAATCAATAAAAATGTTCATTTTTTAATTTGTGCCACATATCAATTGATCGATTTGGCCATTTTATCATTAAGAACCAATGTTTCAAATAATCTTCACTTTTTGATTGACCTATTTGAAATCCACCTAGTTTTAGAGAAATCTTATTTAGTTATTTATTTTAAAATAAATAAATAAATAAACATTCAATTCTTATCTCTTAACTTTTCAAAACAAAACTATTATTTAATTGTTGAATTAAACTATCACTAATCAAATTTAATAAAATAAGACATTTAATAATCAATTATTTACTCTAGTAAAAATGATTTATTTTTAATAAATAAACTTCAATATTAGAGTTCGAATTCTTATATTTGAGATCTAATTTGTTTCTATATTGAAAAAAAAACAAAGAAGTCGAGATAATTATTAATAAATATATAAAATCTAGTTACCAATAAAATCGTCTTTTTTTTCAAAATCTTTATCATAAACAGTTATTTGTAATTTTTTTTAATTAATTTTTTTAATTGAATATTTTTATAAATAAATTCTTGATTAAATTGTGGATTCAAAGTTTGTTTTTTAATATCTGTTTTAAAATTTAATTTGTTCGATAAATGATCAAATGAAAATAAACATAATTGACAATAAAGATTTGATTTACGATCAATATCGATCGGTAATAAATAACAAGCACGTTTTATTTTAACATGAAAATTTGATGTTTCATTTGAATACATAAGACTAATTAAAATTTTTCCACGTTCATTTATATCTTCATCATTTTCACACTAAAACAATTTTATTTCAACTTTTCAACATTTAATCGAACAAATCTAAAAAAAAAAATATTTTAAATAACTGATTATTTTATCGAAATTTATTTCAGTTATACTAGTCAATTTTTACAATAACAAATTAATGCTATTTATTCAACATATGTTTCATTATATCTCCTATCCATTTCAAAATAGAAGGCGTGTCGAATAACTCGAGAACGGAAGCAACTATAGAGCTGCAGTTTTCAGCATTAAAAAGCGAATACCGGGGCACGTAAATCTATGGAAAAAATTTATTGGTCAGTAATGGACCAATAGAATGAAACTCCACTCTACATTTTGAAGATAGCTTTTGGAACGCTTTTTTCCTTGAGTTTTGAACTTGAAATAAATCATCCGATAGAAAAAATTGTTCGCTTTCGATCTACATAAGGTCAAGCTCAATAGCTTGCTCCGTCCGGTAGTTATAAGCATTTTCCTGAGATCCCCGAAAGCGGCCAGGTGGTGCGGAATCACCCTTAAAAGCATTACATTATAGGTAATCGACCATGCTAAATTCAGTAGCGATGCTTTTTTTCATTTCAAGGTAATCTGAGATCATTATACATAAGTTTTCATAAATCTAGTTTTTGCTGCTATTTGATTTAAACAACACGTATACTGAAAATCTCGATACAGTGATCTCAGAGTACTTTGAAACAAAAAACAAACATCACCACTGAATTCAGCGTGGTCATAGTACCTATAATGTAATGCTTTTAAGTGTGACTCCACGTCACTTGGCCGATTTCGGGGATCTCAGGAAAATGCTTATAGCTACCGAACAGAGCAAGCTATAGAGCTTGGCCTTGTGTAGATCGAAAGAAAACAATTTTTTCTATTGAATGATTTAATTCAAGTTCAAAATCCAACGAAAAAAGCGTTCCAAAAGCTATTTTCAAAATGTCCAGCAGACTTTTATCCTATTGGTCCAATACTGACCAATGAAATTTTTCCATAGCTGCTTCCGTTCTCGAGTTATTCGACTCGTAATCACTCGCCTTCGGTTTTGAAATGGATAGCAATTAATCACAAAACGAATTAAAACAATAAATGAATATTATATATATATATATAATAAATACTTACATTAGTTTTATTTTGTAAATAAACCGAATAAATCTGATATTGATCAGATTGAATTGTTGATAATTTAAAACGATATTCTCCAAGAAAGTGATTAACAGATGAATCTTTATCATAGACCGAAAATCTTTTTGTTTGATTTTTTTTAAATTAAAAAACAACATTATTAGTTTTATTTCAATAAATATTATCTTACTTAACTGATTTATAATTGATATCATCTAATGACACACCATCATAAACAAGTGTTTCATCGATATCACCATTTATTATTTTACCAATCATACCACTTTCTAATTCAGTTGACTAATCATATTTAATAACGTATTTATCATCGAAAACAAACTTATCTTTATCCATTCATATATTTAATTTGAACATAAATTATACATTTAAGAGTTTATTTAGATATTTTAATTAAAAATTTTATTTATTGACATATTAAAAGAGAAATTTTTACTTTATTTAGTTTTTCTAAAATCTCTCTTGATATCAATTTACTTAGATAAATTTATTTCGAGAAACAATAACATAAATAAAGTGAGATTGATATACTATATTCATAGAAACGCTAACAAATCGAAGTGAATATGTTTTTTTTAAAGAAAATTCTTTCTGATAAACCTTCTTTTAAATGGTATGAAATTAAAAAGTAAAAAATAAAATGAAGTTAAATTTACTTTGTGAATAGCTGGTAGAAGATCTAATTTAAGATAAATATGAGAATATTGTTTTTGATTATTTAATCGAAGATTTTCTAATCGTAATAATCTTATTATTAATTTATATTCATATTGTTTCCAAACAATTTCAAAGTCTAATCTTCCAAGTCCTTTAAAAATCAAATAAATATATTTATTGAAAAAAATATGAAAAAAAAGAAAATTCGAACCACAATCTTCATTTATTGATGATAATCTTATATGAGAATCTTTTGATGATATTGATGATTTACCTAATTCACATTTTGATAAATATTCATCAATTGAATCTTCTTAAAAAAAAGACGAATGACTGAAATAAACATCTATCTACCTTTTGAAGTTAGTTTATTATTTTTAAATGAATAAATTCTTTTATCATCATCATCATCACATTTATTTATTTCATCTTGATTATCATTCAATTGTTTAAATTGATTTAAACGTCTATCATTTGGTATCACTAAATTAAAGCAAAATACTTTTCTTTTTTTTAAAATAAAACTATTTTGAGATAAACATTTTTTATTAAATCGATCCGTAATCGAATCATCATCATCTGAACTTGATTGATCAGATATCGATTGAGCATCACCTATGAACAACTATATATACATACCCTATATAAATAGTTGTTAACTAACTTGTTTTGATATATTGTGATGATAGAAATGATGAAGAGGAATTAATATCAAAAGTAAGATTCAAAGGTTTAGGTAAAGATCGAAAAAACCAAGCAGCTGATTTTTTTCATAACTAGGATAGAATAAAATAATTGATTATTAACTATTTAGGCAAAATAAAAAAGTAGTAACTTGACGATTTTCACTACAAATATTACATAATGACACAATCTTTTGATTAAAATGTGTTTGAATTGAACAATTATCACATACTAACTAATAATAAATAAGATTTATTTTTAAAAAAAAATGTATTTTTTTTTCTATATTCACATTACTTTTTGACAATTAGCACATGAAAAAAATGATCGAGATAATATTCCTCTTTTATTAGAACATAACAAACATTGAGATAAACCATTACCAGTTGCATTTTTTTTCATTTTATCAAGACGATCAATTAATTTACTTATTATTGAAAATGGAAAAAAAAAGAAAATAATAATAATAAAAGAAGAAGAAAAATTCTACCAAATACGTTCTTGTTCGATATATTGAATGTGTTGATTACGTTTAAGAACATTTTCAATATGTTCGATTTGTTGATTAGTTAATGATTTTTGATTAAGATTATTTGATATATTAGGATTCAATTGACAATTTAATGATAGAATATTAGTGTAATATGACTAACTGAAATTTATTCTAATAAATTTATTTTATATTAAAATAATAATTCGAATAAATAAATATATACTTTGATCGAAGTTCTAATCGACGATCATTTGGACATACAAATCGATCATTAATCATCTTTTTTTTTGTTATTATAATTAACACATTATTTAGATGTAAAATATCTAAAAGAATAAATAATAAAAATGGAATGAAGGGCGTGGGTGTGGGTGAGGTGTGCGTGTATGGATATGAGTGTGAATGTGGATGTGGATGAATGCATCGATGAATTGGAAGTAGCAACTCACGCACCACATCCACATTCTACTTCATTTCTACCTATCATAAATTTATGTTTGAGAACTTTTAAAAACATAAACAACTATTGCATGATATGTTCTCTTAAAAACGCTTAAAAATAGACGTACAAAAAAAAAAGGTCGGATCAAACTATTTCAAACATTCTCGATCGGTTACAACTCTGCAATGCAGCATATTATATTTTTTCTGCGTGGACAACAGATATAGATTCTAAACATACCTGTCTTCTCCTTCCTCAGAAATCCTAATGTGTAATTAAAAATCAGTCGATGATCAAAATAATCGTTTTTGTTTATTTCTAAGGATCTCGAAACTAATATGTTAGGTAACTGTGAAAAAAAATGCAAAACAAAGTACAACTTTTGCTCTATACTGATAATTTTCAATATTCATTTCGTTTTAATTTTTTTCTTTATCAAACAATTTGAAGAAATATGTGAAAAGTGTTAAAATAAAAAGTAGAAGCGTTCGGTAAAGAAAAAGCAAGAACTTTTACAAGGTTAACAGTTTCTAACAGATTCAATTTCTGATCTACAATAGTGTAGAACAGCAGACTTGAATGAATAGTCTTATAATTTCCAAATGAATACAGTTTTCTTCGAAAAAAGAATTTATAATTCGACAATTTCGAAGAACTCTTTTAATAAAGAAACATTTTGGGAAATCATGACATTACATAATTATTCTTATCCTACTGATTCATATCGTTTATAAAATCTTTTCAGTGATAAAACTAGTATTGCAAATAGCAGGTTCTTTGCGTTCGACATACTGATAAAAGAACAGGCATAATGTATTAAGAAATAGAATGCATCCCGATCCTCACTGATCTGAGCCATACCAATAAACGATATGAGATTGTATATGTCACCTATTTTTATCTAGACAAACACGCATTTCGATTATTTTCTTGGTATAATCCTTCTTTTAGGAAGGAAAATATATTCCAATTGAGTGTGTCCATTATCGTTGATTGGTATTAACATACAATGAGCATTGTCTATGCTTCACCTTGTTGATTACAGGCAAAAAAAAAATAACTATGCCACTATCAAATTCAAAATGGCTTTATTTTCACATCAACTATTATTTACATATGTGCACGATGCCTATTAACGAACATTGGTTGAATCGATTCAAGGCTCAGCCTGTATGTATTATCGACGAGATTAACTGCTCAATAATTGAATCTCTTCATTTGAAGTATCTTTTCTCGTTGCTGTCGAACAATGGCGTGCCGATTCTCAACAACTACTCAACTTCTTCTATAACGAAAAGTGTCAAGCCTTTCTCCATTTGTTAATCAATGTCGAAGAATGGACATACGTGCAGTATACAACACAATAAAACCTGTTCTTGATTAAAATATTTACATATCGGATCGAACAAGATTTTAACTCAAGTTCAATTCAATTTTCGTCCTCGCGTAATCAACGAAAATCTGGTTGTTCCATGTTTACAAGATCTTTTCTTTCTACACTTTCACAACAAATGACTGAACTGACCGTTTGTATGTTGTATTTACCGGCAATAAAACATACCTATTATTACATCGAGAAGCACACAGAAAACACGATCAAAAGGATTGTCTTTGTAAACATATTGCATCAACGCATGTATATAAAAGGCTCCCATTTAAATGCTAAGTTATTTTAAATAAAAATTAAGTAAGAAATTTAATTGTACAGTTACTGTATTAATACAACTTTTATTGCTTTTCGTGGTCGTCCTGTTTTTTTTTCTTCATCTGGTGATATATCTTTTGTTGATGGAGGTAGTTTGCAACACTTTAACGTAGCATCGATACTGATATTACATTTGGAAAGATATTTTTGCAGCAGCAGGAGCCTAATATTCACCAATACTAACATCCCGGACTTATACTCGCACACATCCTGATTCTTACGAATTATTAAAAGCTACTATTTATTTGAGCAATAAAAATATTGGAATCAGCAATAATTAACATACGATTTAGCAATAATTTGTGAGCAATTTTATATTATTAAATGAATAATAATTAATTCATTAAATAGCAGTAATAATTTCATATTTTAGCAATAAATAAAAGAAAAACTGCATTATTTTTAGTTACAATCGAAAATTAAAAAAAAAGAAATCAAAAATATAGTATATTATTGGCCCAATAAAGCTGTTTTTGCTTAGGTGGTCTGCCTCTATTTCTTACGTATTTCCATAAGTAAATGTGTTAAATCCGTAATATGATCTTGTGTATATGATGTCTATTTTCGAAAAATAAGATCCTCTCTGTTATCACACACATGTAGACCTGTATCTGACAGTAGGGAGCTACACCAGGTTATTTGAGCTCGACCAGAGGATTGTTGGCCATTCTATTTTTTGGAATACTCAACTGTTTTTCGAATACACATCTGTGAAGCAATGTTTCCACTTTCATACAATGTGATTATAACTATACAAAAGGCATTCAGAGTTGAAGGATTTTAAATAAAAAGATTAAAGTTCATACTTGGACTCTATCAGACTCGAATGTATGAACTCGGACGTTTTTTGTTTAAAAATCGTTGGCTTTGAATGGTTGTTGTACAGTTCTAATTGCATAGTCTGAAAGAATAAATATTAATCTACAAAATTTGTATTCGAATAACCATTCAATATTCGAGATGATAGAATGATTCCTTTGGTTAGATTCAGAAAAACTAGTACAGCTAATCTGATAAAAGAGAAAGAGAATAAAAGGTGTAGATACATATGTAGAGAAAGAAAGAGACCGAAAATATAATGTATAGTATAACACAACTCTGTCTTATAGCACATCTTTGGAATGTAGCATAACAAAATGAATCCATAGTGCCCCTTTTTATATAAAATTTACCTATAATTTAAGTAAATTATTGCTGATTCAGTATATTTATTGCTCAATTAAATGTAAGTCATTATTAAAATGTGTTCTCAGCAACTTTGATTTTAACGGAAAATTTTGTCGATTTTGGTATGTGTTTATGTCGATATCAGAGATCTGCATCTCGCCAAGTTTCATCGCCTCACCTCGTCTCGTAACGTGGTTAGGTGAGTCAAGATTCTTGATGAAGAGGCAAGTACAAATTTTGACGAGTCTCTCATCTCGGTACGATGTCTTGTTTGCTGAATAAGCATTATAAATAGGTTCAAAAAAAATAAAAGACAATAGATAACGAGAAGGCGAGAGGCTAGGCACCTGAGGGTATCAACGTCGCGATACTTCTCCTCAAGGATGCAGAATCTGCCCGTAGGCTGGAGCGGTGCTCCCGAGAAAAACCAATTTCTTGGAGAAATTGGGCAAATTTAGGATGTCGAAGACTTTGTCTGACATGTCTATAGGCTGAGGAAACTTACCATATGTTTTCCTGCTCCTCCCTTTTCATCTGTCATCAATTTTCATAAAAAAATACAACTTTTGAAATGGCTCTTTCTGAAATACTTATATTGTGAATAGAAAGTTTGAACTGTTCTCAAATACTAGTACAAAAACAAATTCATGCTTTTATATAAGATCCTAGGCTACACGAAGGCGAGCTGAAAGTCGGCGAACGAAGCGATCATTTACAAAAAAATTTCAGCCGAGATTATAACAAAGCAGTTTTTCGAGTACCAATTGGATTTTGGGTCTATATAGATTCTTGATGTTATTGGAAGCCTTCTTTTGTACAAACGTTTTCGTCTCTACACTCGCATTCATATACTAAATTTGAAGGAAGCTTCCAACTACAGACACTTACAGAAAAGCCAGGTGAATTGGAGTAAGAACTTACTAGAAAATGGAAAACACTCAAAAAGTCTGGAAAAACCAATACTAATCACGTATAAAAGAAATAGGAGCCAGGAAAAATAAATTATTGTATAGAGAATTCTCGGAAACAATGTATGTGTTCGAGTATAATATCAGACCAAAAAAAAAGGTGTAATACTTATATCTCATGATGGTACTTCAGTACTGACAGAAGAAAACGAAAAGAGAAAGTGTATATACCATACCACCATAAAAAGTAATTTTATCTTAGGTAGTAGTAATAAGTTTCACTTATTGATTATGTTTATAAATATGATTTCAATTTATTAACTTAAAAAAAAAATGTTTACTTAGATATTGATTATCTAGCTTAGCAAATATTTTTATTACAGAGAAACTAGAAATTAACGGAGCCCTCAATATTTCCACTTAGCTAGTCAATATATTTATTGAGTAAATATGAATTTTACGTGACAAAAGTTAACTTAGCATTTTTATAGTTTTACTGAGCATATAAATTGTTGCCTATATGAAATACAAAGATGGATTTGGTATACGTATATTTTTGTTCAATCAAAATTTCACAAAGACATTGCTAATGTTGGAACAGAAAGTTCATGAAATTGAAGGAAATTTTCATCTTGCATAACTATCTAAGTGAAATTGATATATTTAACAATATGATTTAATTTTGAATAAAACTACTGAGTTCAACATAAAATTTTTCTAGAGCTTTAAAATTAGTTTAATTTAACACAATCTTTCTAATCAATTTACAGTCAAAAATATGTTATACGATAGGAATTTAGAGTAGCGACGTCATTTCTCTGTTGATTAAATTTTAACATATTGTTTGTGTTACTATTGTTAATATTCTTCTTCTTTTTCTTGATTGATGAGATGGCAAGCACTGAACTTCCAAACACTATATCCATCTCTTCTAAACTTCTACCTTTTGTTTCGGGATAGAAGAGAAATACAACTACAGTCATACTAATACACAAAATACCGAAAATAAGATAGGTTCCATATGTAATACTTTCTAGAAGAACAGGTACCCCGAAAGAAATGACGCAGTTGGCCACCCAAACAGCAGCTGTGGTTAATGATGTTCCTTTGGCACGCATACTAAGTGGAAATATTTCTGTGCAATATAACCATGAAGTTGGTCCCCAGCTAAAAGCAAATGCAGCAACGAAGACATAAACGAAAAAAATTATTGTGTAAGAGGCTGTCTGGCTTGGAATGATTACTTCGACAGTGCCTGTTGTTGAATTGAACAATGTATGTCCGTGCACGCCCATAGTAATGCCCATAGTAAACATTGATAAACTCATGAGTATAGCACCCAAAATGAGTATAGGTCGGCGACCCCATTTATCAATAAATAGAATAGCAGGAATAGTAGCTAGAACATTAACGCATCCATTGATTCCAGTTGCTAGTAAAGAAGCACGCTGATCAGATAAACCAGCTTGTTTAAATATTGAAGGTGCATAGTACATAATTGAATTCATTCCAGTAAATTGTTGCAAGATTTGAATAGTAACGCCGAGAATTAGACGGCGGCGAAGTGGAAAACGAAAGAGTTGAGAATAAGAACGAATCGATTGCTCGCGCTCTAAAGCGATCTCCTGTTTGATTTCATTGTATTCGATGAGTATGTCTTGTTGAGAGGATGAACGTATTTTATTGAGAACAGCCATCGCTTCCTTTTCACGACCATTTGCCATCAACCATCGAGGCGAAAATGGAAAAAATGGAATACCAATAGCCAAAATCAATGCTGGAACCATTTGGAGTCCAAGTGGAATTCGCCATGATGCACTACTAGATGAAAGAAGCATATCAGTGCCTAAAATATACTAGAACTAATAAATATCAATAATAGATGAAAAACTATCATATGAACACAGTGAAAGTTCCGTTATATGTTTAAGATTGGTGAAACATATTCGAAGCAAAAAGCTTTTCAAATTATTCAATGGCATTCTCTTGTATGAAGAAAACTTTACCATAATTAGTCCAGAAGCTAACTGCAATTCCTATGGTAATAGCCCATTGTTGAAGTGAAACGAGTCGTCCTCGAATTTCTTTTGTAGAAATTTCTGATTGATAAACAGGTACGATCATCGATAATGCACCAACACTGACACCTACATAATTAATTAAATCTATCATAAAATGAAATCCAAAAAGGCGTTACTTTACCAGCAATTAAACGAGACACAAGTAACATGGTTAAATTGATAGAACCTGCTTGTAATGCACCGCTCGCTATGAAAATAGCCGAAAAGAGAACAATTGAATATTTTCGTGAGAGTTTATCACTTGCTTGGCCGGCCATGAGCGCACCAATGAAGCAGCCAATTGACATTACACCTACAATTGATCCCGCAACAGCACTTGTCAATGAACCTCGAGCCAGACTTGCTTCGTCTCCAAAAGCAACAAGAAAATTTGACATTACGATTACACCAGAGATTACGCCTAAATCATAGCCAAAAAGAAAACCACCAATAGCAGCGAAACCTCCCGTCACATAGACTTGATAATCAGCTCGAGAGAACATCTTAATATTGCTTAAGAAATAATACATCTTTTTGTTGATCTTTGTTTGTTTCTTACCTGTTTCGGTTGGCAGTTTTTTAATAATACCCAATAAAATAAAACCTACGTTTTAATATGAATGGCTCGATAATCACATCAATTGCTTTTCGTTTGTTTGTGTTAGATAGTGAGTATTAATGTCAATAGAAAGTTGATTGTGTGATAATCACAAAATAAGAAATTGAAACATGATTCTCTTTCAATGATTGTTTGCGTGGCCTTTACATGAGAAAAGAAAGCAATGAAAAATCAACGTTGATTGAGAGTAAATCAATAATTTTTATAACATATGTATCTTCATTATTTTGCATCGAATATAAACCTAGTTCAAGCACTAACTATATAAAATGGCTATTACTCTAGAAAGATCACAAATGAAAACGAATGGTAGTTTTCAATTTGTTATTTTTCTTTTTATATTCTTGATCAACGGGATTAATCATTTCACGGTTGAGGCAGTTTATGATGCTGTGGAACCATTCAAGTTGTTTGAATTTGAACGACGTGCATTAAAAGTAGATAATCTTCTGATTCGCATTCATTTCTGTGGTATATGTCATAGCGATATTCGTGAAATACATAACGATTAGAATGAGTCGAATTGGGGTATGGCGTGAGTGTCGATGTGAATATAAGTGTTGATGAGGAAAGGCAATAGCACCCCACACCCCCACATATTAGCCTAAAAGTTTCAGCTAAAACAAATGCTTCTTTCTCGAAATATCACGCTCTCAAGAGAACATTACGATGCTACACGCATGTCAGAAAAATCGACTTTTATGGAGAACTCCATATTTCGAGAAAGTAGGATTTACTTTGGCTGAAACTTTTGGGCTAATATATAGGCCAAAAGACCTGCATGTGAACAAAATTTCAGATGGAAATCCAATAATTTGATTTTTCACTGAATCCCTTATCATAGATAGTAAACCCAGTAAAATAATAATAACTCAAGAAGGAAGGCTTATGGGCCATTATCCTTTTAGGCTTTTTCTAGTCTCATCGAACCTCCCATATGGGCAAAATATCAACAAAGACGGCGTGGATCGTTTGGGGATCTTTCCTCGTAAGCACAGGATCTAGAGCTAATTTAATTAAAAAAATTGAATAGGATTGGCCAATATATATTGGTATATCAGACAATGGTTTCACGACAAAATATGTAGTTTGTTAATTGCGGTGTTTTCAAAAAACACATACTTCTGTTGGACTTCAACAACCTTCGCTGTTATGCGAATGAAAGCAATTTACTGAGTTTTTTTCCAAGTAATGCAACAGAAAGACAAAAACACGTCTCTTTCAAAACAACATTTTTATTGCAAGACAAACATCAAAATTGAGGTAAAAACACAGAACCATGCGCTTTATTTTTGTATAGACAACATTGATCGAGCTTATGTTGAAAAAAACTAACTTGAGGGCTCTTTGATTTTTTTTTAATAGGAAAATAGTCCCTGGAGAATAATTATCATTCAAAACCACGAAACATAAAGTGGTGGACATAAATTTAAGACATTTTTAGTATTTTGCATTTTCTAACCTAACAGTTTTACTGAAATAAGCTAAAACATATATAGCAATCGATGCAGAATTTTGTGTTCTATACTTTGAAAAAAATTTTTTAATTTATCACTAAACCATAGTTATAAAATTTGGTATTTGTTAGTGCCAGTGAATAATGCTAAACAAATCTCTCATCTCTTTCGACATTTAACGCATTTTTAACTTTGACAGTTCTCAAAAGTAAATAGTATTTGATCTTCGTGGCCTATGAAAAGAACAAGAGTATCTGAATAATAATAAGAATTGCAGGAACGATATTTCTTTTTTCTTTCTCTCTCGGTTTCTTTCTTCTTACTTCACATATTGCATCATACGTCGTGGTAAGTCAATTGCTACCAGAAGGCTTCATTGCTTATCTTTACGAAATCAGCTCTTTGTTGATTTTGAGTCATGAGGTTTTTCGTTATACAATATATTCGTATTATTTCTCTAACGTAAGTAGTATGAGAGAATAGTTAGTTCGAATCTTTATCTCACAAGAAAATTTCTTCTCATCTGTATCACATTCACAGCAACTATGACTCAAACCGATAATACACTCAACTACACTCTAAAATAAAATGTGTCACATGTATCGCAACGAGCACCTCGTATCGTATTTCTTGCGTTCTTCGCTATATATATCCAGCGGAGAATGCAAGAAATACGACACGAGGTGCTCGTTGCGACACATGCGACACATAATGCAACACATTTTATTTTAGTGTATATATGATACACACAATTGCCAAAATGATGGACAACTCTCGCCAAAGTCATTCAGTCTTCAGTCCAGATTTTACAAATGTTGCGTCGGATCATCAACACATGGATCTAATGAACATGTCTCCATCCGATAATATTGTACATGATTCACGCAATCAAGACCAAATGTCATTTGACAACGATGAAAATGCAGACGGGTCAGCATATATTATTGCGATAGCTACCGTAAAGAGAGACTTAGTAAATGTATCCGAACTCTCTAGAAGTGATACTACACACAAACGTATACTTGATGAGAGTATTGTAACAGTCGATAGTATCGATTGTCTTTCGATCCTAGTTGATCTTGGCATTGAACATGAAGTCTTGGTACGTGACGGTTTTTCTGAAACACAACGATGGGGTCGTTTACATTACTTTTACGTGAAAGTGATAGGTTCACAAAGCATCGCTTGCGGTGTGGCGGCTCTGCTTGGTTCGTTGTTTCGACAAGATGCCATTGGAATTACTCATCCACTCACCAAAGATGATCGTCAAATATTGAGTCTGAACCAAAGACAATCGTTGCCGGAAAATTTTCATCCATATTTCACTGTTCGCTCGGACAGTTCGATTTCGCGGGACACAGCCATCGAAGTAATGAAACTTATTTGCCAATGCTTTTCTGAAATATCCGCACAACTCGACACATCAGGGAAATCAATTGAATTTCATGATTTTAGCTTATCATCATATTGCACAAGAGAAGATATTGAAAACGTTTTGAATTTAAATTTTCATCAAAAGTTTCAAGTGGAAACAAGATTCGCAAAGAGTAGTCTTTTGAATAAAAACGATTACCAACAAGCGCTCTGCGAATTGAATCTCGAAATGGGTCGAATCATCAACTGGAAGGAATTGATTAGCAAGTATGAAATTCATTTTGATTAGAAAGATTTGTAACACTGAAATCACCATCTCGTCCTTTTTTGTCTTTACTATTCTTGAACAAAAGTTTGAGAACAAAATGATGCAAAGAACCCATGATCTTATCTCAAACGGATTGCAGTAACATTATTTTGTAATATTCTAATTTTCAATAATAAAAATTTTCAAAAACACTAGTCTCAAGTTCACTGATAATCAAATTCAGAAATTTACTCATCAATATTTATGAGTATAAATGCTATATTTTTAGTTGCAATCGTAATAGTTCTTGCGTATTCATCAGAGTGTGGATATGAGAATAAGACCCACACCCTTCTCCGTTGGAGCGGTATTCTAACGTAGAAATTGTAACAGCGTATTGAAAAATCGAATAATTATTTCCATCAATGGATTATTGTTGCATTTCCATTTCATTTGATTGAAAAAAACAATCCATTATTGCACGATGTATGATTGGGGCTAGATCGTCAATAGTCATATATTTTGATAGAAACTGTTGCAAATATGTTGTTCAATCGATCGAATAGATTCTCATCAAGTATGTTAGAATTCCGATAACTTTAGCGATGGAATTAAGATACAACATACTGCTTATCAAACAATCAAATGCAACTTTGCATTCACGATCGAGTTTTCTATCTTATGATTGCTTTTGATATGTGATTATGTTCATTTAATCTAGGGACAAACGCAAATGCAAACGAATTTTTTTCGTATGATGGAGGACAAAGTTTTGGTAGTAATCATCTTGAAAGTGAGAATGCCCAAAGAGAAAAGTTCGAACAAACAATATCTCGCAAAAATATGAATCGTGTTCAGTGTGTACTTCATGGCATTGAATCCACCCACGAATACCTCATGTTGGATAGCTTCAATTACAAGAGTGTACATTTTCGAAGTTTACAGTAATAATTTCATATTTTGTATTTTGAAGATTTCGTTTTGTGAAAAATAATATTTTCTCTGAGACTTACTACTCTAATATCTTAACCTTTACTTTTTGCTTTTTTGTGCGTATAAGGAGAAATGCTATACACATTTTTATTGAAAAAATCTGCTTATATTACATTTTTGACATCTGAAATACATGAAAAACGACGCACGAATTCGTCGCAGTTATCGTGTGTCGTATCAACATTCACTTTTCCGAGCAGACAGAAAGGGATAATTCATCAATCGTATTCTCATTGGTTCACAATGGCTAAGATATGTTATATACAATGTTGCATGCTTTTAGTACAGGGCATTTTCGACTAAAAAAAAGACTACGACATAGTTTTTTTTCTAAACATTTCCTTTCAATAAGAGAATAAAGACATGTGAATCATTATAATCTAAGAGCGACATCGTTATCATTCGTTTTCTTTCGTCGGATACAGTTGCCAATGGAAAAGTAAGCATAAAAATGGAAAAATTTTTATTTCTTTTCAGTTGCAATTTTAGTAAGCAATTTAGCGGCCTTAATTTCGGATATCTTCTTGCCTTAGATTGCATATGAATTTCATTTTTTTTTGTATTTTGTATAGATGTCTCATATAAACAAAGTTCGTATTATTGGTTCATATTTATCTCCATATGTTAGAAAAGTATTAGTGTGCTTAGCTATTAAAGGTATTCCATATGAAATTGATCCAATTGTTCCATTTTATGGTAATGAAAAATTTTCTAAACTTTCTCCTCTTCGTCGTATTCCAGTATTCACAGATGATAAAGTTACATTATGTGATTCATCTATTATATGTCAATATTTAGACGATTGTTATTCAAGTCCTAATTTTATTTCAATATATCCAAATGATATTGTAAATCGAGCTAAAGCAAGATGGTATGAAGAATATGCTGATACTTATATAGGAAATATATTTATATGGCAATATTTTAATGAAGTTATTATTAAACGATTTGTTTGGAGAAAAAATAGTGATCAAACAATAATTGATCGTTCATTAAATATTGATATTCCAAAAGTATTACAATATTTAGAAGAAAATGTTCCAAAAGAAGGTTATATGTTTGGTGAAAATCATATTACCATTGCTGATATTAGTATAACATGTTTCTTTCGTAATTTATTTATGGCTAATGCTAAATTAGATGTCGAACGATATCCATTTACTTTTTCATATATTAATAGAATACTTTCTTTACCATATTTTCAATTATTAATTCCATTTGAAAAAATTTGTTTTTCTACTTCAATTTTAAATCATCGAACGGCATTAGCCCAGATAAATGCTCCAATTAGTAATGAAACATTTGGTATTGACAAACTAACACCCGGTGTATTTTCTGATCAAGCATCATTATAAATAAAATAAATTTAGAATCATTATGATTTTTTTTACGTTAATCTTTGATTTAAATATTAATAAAACTTTGCTAGTTTATCAGGATTAATTAAACTTTCATCTATTGAATATTGACGAAACATTTTGGAGATAAACAATAGTTGATAAACGTTGTATTAGGTAATCAAGTTACTTTCACACGGGTGAACTTTAGATTTTAGCTAAAACACAAAGGATATTTCGTAATAACTGAGGATAATTTGTTCATGACATTTTTCACACTTTTTCTTGGCGTAGAAAGCTGAAATTTTTATCATACATATATATCTCTCAGAGATCGTTAATTTTCCAAAGTTTCAGATCTCTAAAACTGGTGTTGAAATACATAAATTTTTCTACTTGATATTTATGACTTTATTTCTTGAATAATGATATTTATAAACATACGATGAAAAAACACTTTACAAGAGAAATTGTTTTTTTAAAAAACGTAAATTATAATAAAACTCAATACTTATGAATATGCTCTTCATCATTTTCTTAGATCAACTGTGATTGACAAGGCATTTCATCGATCATCTTTGCACATGTTTCTCTGAAATATTTTCTCAATTCTTTTGCAATTTCTGTTTCTAATCGTAACGAATTCTATACGTTTATAAATATATTGTGCTATGAACTTTGCAGTCAATACATCATGTTGCTGTGGGACATTTTAAATTCAATATAAAACGTTTAATATATTTTCTATACTGGTAATTTATGAACATTTAAGATAAAATTTAAAAGACTCCTGGTATAAATATATTTCTTTATAGTTAAAACAATTCATAGCTACTCTGACGCGATTGAATAAGTAATAATAAAAATATTCCAAAAATCAAGTAGAAAAATTAACGATCTGTACGAGATATATATGATAAAAATTTCCGCCTTCTACGCCAAGAAAAAGTGTCAACAATGTTATGGACAAGTTATCCTCAGTTGTTATGAAACACCACTTTTACGAGATGATATGTCGTAATAATTATTTATAAGTTTATCAACAACGTGTCTTCTTCGAGAACATACATAACAACACATTTTCCTATTTATTGTGTAGTCAAATAACTTAAACCTAATTAGTTTCAAGTTTTATTGAAAAAATCTTTCTCGATTTAATATTTGTATGGAAAGATGGTTCAAAATCTCATAAAAAGAACAATGATGAAATTATAAACATACTAGCATCGTTTAAATATATCAAGAACATTTCAGAAACAAGTATTATTAGCGACTATTAACTTTACAAATATTATAATTGTTGTTTATTATACAATATCAAATCGGATAAACAGTGATTTATTTAGAAAGGCAAGCATAGAATGTATAATATTCATCATCAAAATAAGTACATGAAACATAGATAGAATTGATTATTTAGTTCTAATTTCTATGCTGATTATTTTTTTTTTTGTTAAAATAGGAAAAAT